CTCGTGAATATCATACACTGATGATGAGATTTGGTTTAAAATGGTAGAAATCTGATTAAAGAGGATGATGGGTTGATCGATTTGTCCAAAGATGATTATGATTGAGATAAAAAAAACGGTGAGATTAAAAATTTGGAAGAAATTGAACCATCAATGACTTTTGAAAAGGGGAAGAACAAAAAGTTAGGGATTTGAGAAAAGATCCAACTTGGATCCAGAAATGTTGTCTGGGTCGAATTTTAAATGGTTGGATTGGTAAATTTATCAACTTCCATAAGGATAATGGTCATTTCCCTACTTTTTCTATTTTAAGAGAAAATACAAATTAATTGGAAAAAGAAGAGGTCTATTATAGATTTTTTTCAGTCCACTTGGTCCATTCTAGCATTTAATCCAAAGAAATAGAATGAGCAAGTTCGTAAGAAACCCATCATTTTTCATTGTCAACTTAAGAATAAATGACATGTCATAAAGCCGAACTCTAATTTGGTTGATTAAAATATCCGACGTGGATAGCTTAGAATTTGAAGGTATTTCTCTTTTAATATAGTACTGTTGATTATTAAAATAGAAGTACCAATAAAAATTATCACTTAAACTTACAACTTGTTTACAGTTCAATACCACTGAAGTAATGAAATGAACCTATGTTTAAGTAATCTTTGTCTTTTCCAAATTAATAAAGTAATAATTATTCTTAATTCTATGTCTCCTATATCTTTTCTAAAATTAATAAAATATTTCTTAAACTGAATTCAGAATAAATCATTATAAAAATTAATAACATCAATAATATACACAAAGTATTTGTATAATAATTTTATTAACTTACATATTGCACATATCATATTCAAAAGATGACGATGATACAATTGACGGTTCACAAGACAAAAAATTCATCAATATAAACAATAAAATTATTATGATTATAAATATCATATTAAATAATTATTGAACACAGATAAATTTTGAATATTTTATCGCTTAGAACAAAATATTTTGAAAAAGACCAAAAATAACATCCACATATACATGGTTTAAATGTACACAAATTTAAATCCATTTATATTTTTATATCAGCTACATCAAGTTTAAATCTTAATTTTTCTATGATCCAGATTTAGTAAGAGTTTAACAATCATTTCATTACTACAAATGTTATAGCTAATGTATCATTTTTATTAGCATGATAATTTATAATTGTTTATTTTCGTACTTTTTGTTTAAAAAAGTTATTCGCTATATATGTTAGACATGGATCTAATTATATAAATGTTGGATTGGTTATATAATACTCAATATCGATGATATATTTTACGCTAAAATGAAAAATATAAAATTAAGTACGAATATAACATTTATATTTAAAAATACAACTATATTTACAAATATAACATTAAGTACAAACACAAATTAAGATATAAATTAGATACTCATACAGTTACACGGGTCAAGATAGTATAAATTAATGAAACAATTACAAATTGTTTGACTAAATTGTTGATAGAGAAGGCGAAAATGGGAGGAGAAGAATGGTACTTGTTTGGGAGAATTTCATTTATATCATTTTGGTAGTACCACTTTTCATTTTCACCATCAATAAAGGAACATTTTCAAAAATACACATTTCATTAAAGGATAAAAGACTCTTGTACTCTTCTTCTTTATATATTATATGAAATAAATATTTAAATAAATAAAAAAACACAAAAACATCAATACTAAACTCTAAACCATAAAACATCAATTTTAAACGGAAGTGGCTCCTCGGAGACCACAATTCGACACCTTCCCATGGATCTGTTGGTATATTTGGAAGGCAAGGAACGACAAACTTTTTAATGGGAAAGACGTATCTCCAATGGATACTCTTCAACATGCGTCTCTTGAGGCAGACTGTTGGAAGAAAGCAAACGAGCAAGAGAAAGTAAATGAGGATCATGAGGTACCTCTTAGTTCAGAGCCCCTAGGATCCCCCAAACCCCTACATGCCAAATTGATGCATCATGGATCGATAATGTCAGTGTCAGTGGCTTAGGGTGGAGTCTCAAGGATCAAATGGGTTCTGAATGGTTCGGATTACGGGCGTGTAGAAGGAGCCTATCAGCTCTGCATGCCGAGATGTAAGGCCTACTGTGGGCAGTCTCATGTATGAGAGATTTGAGGATCATTTCGATACGGATTGAGACGGACTGCTCGGATCTAGTGGACATGTCTACTAAACCGGAGGACTGGCCGGCTTTCGCGACAGAGATCGAGGTGTTTCAGCGACTACGGGAAGACTTCGAGGATGTGAGTCTGTCTCATATTCCACGTAGTAGAAATGGACGAGCGGATGCACTAGCTAAAGAAGCGAGGAGTAGAGGTTATTCATTTTCCCATATAGATCAGATCCGGCTAGACGGAGTTTCTCCTCGGAAAATCAACTCGACTGGTCACCACTTGATCTAGAATACATGGGAGGCTGACAAAAAAAAAATCAATTCTAAACCCTAAACCTTAAAACATCAATTCTAAACCCTAAACTCTAAAAATCAACCCTAAACCCTAAAATATCAATTCTTAATCCTAAACCCTAAACTCTAAACCCTGAACCCTAATGAATCAACACTAAACCCTAAAATATCAATTCTAAAACCTAAACCCTAAATTCTATACCCTAAACTCTAAATTCGAAACCCTAAACCCTAAATTATAAACCCTAAACCCTATTTTCTAAACTCTAAATCTTAAACCCTAAACCCTAAACTCGAAATCCAAAACCGTAAATTCTAAACCCTAAACTCGAAATCCTAAACCCTAAATTCTAAACCCTAAACCCTAAATTCTTAACCCTAAATCCTAAATTCTAAACTCTAAACCCTAATCCATCAAAACCTTATTAAAATTATTAAGTTTAATTAGTTAAGGGTATAACAGTATTTTGGCTATTAAAATTTTAATGGTAAAGTTGGTTAGTGTAAAGTTGAAAAATGATATCTTGAAATTGTTATTTCTGGCAATTTTTCTACTTTTTAGCCTACGCTACCGAAAATATCCTACTGGTGTGATAACAAATCGAGCGACAAATACAGGATACTGGAAAACTACTGGAAAAGACAAAGAGATACTCAATAGCAACCTCGGAGTTGGTCGGAATGAAGAAGACTTTGGTCTTCTACAGAGGCAAAGCTCCTCGTGGGGAGAAGACTAGTTGGGTCATGCATGAATACCGACTTCAGTCTAAGTCCTCCTATATATACTCATTTAATGTCATGGTCATGCTAATATATATAAACTTAGATGCATAGATCTCATGTGTTTCAGATGACTTGGATAATCAATTTTTTGGCGTACTATTTCTATTTAGTAAGAGTTGCTAAGTTGTATGTTTAGTGTGAAGACACAATCTTCATCTTCACACAGTTATGATTGATATAAATAAATTTAACACAATTTAGTTGCTTTGTTATGCATGTGATTGGCTATAATCTAGTAAACATGGTTAATTATCTAGTGGGATTAGTTTTTACTAAATCACAGCTTGTAAGTTACCACACTTGTTTCATAAGAAGAATATACAATCTCAATACTATTCTCAATATGTTTTCCCCATGGTGTAATGTAAATGCAGCAAGATGAGTGGGTAGTGTGTAGAGTGTTAAAGAAAACAGAAGCAACCAAGAAATACATAAGCACTAGCAGCAGCAGCACAGGTCATCATCACCAAAACCACACAAGAGCCTCAATACTATCAACCAACAACAGTAACCCTAATTACTCATCGGACCTCCTTCAACTCCAACCACATCCACAACCACACACCAGCCTCCAGAGTCTTTCGCGCCTCCACAAGCAGCACCATGGACTCTGCTCATCAGCAGCTAATGAGCTACAACCACATGCCAGTCTCAGGACTTAATCTCAACCTTGGTAGGACATTGGTCCAGCCGCTTCCTCCTGTGTCGATTGAGGATGTTGTCGCCGTTAGCACTTCTTTTAACTGCGAGAATGGGTTTGTAAGTGCGGTGATGAGCCAGTGCATGGACTTGGATATGGATACTGGCCATCTTATTGATTAGGAGTTATCACTTCAAATTATGTTTTTTTTTTCCTTTCTTCTGTTGTTGATCTGAAGAAGTAATGGATACTGGCCATCTTATTGATTAGGAGTTATCACTTCAAATTATGTTTTTTTTGTTCTTTCTTCTGTTGTTAATCTGAAGAAGTAAGTCATTTACTGGTTGGTAATACCTTTTGTTTTGGTTATGGCATTTGTGCTGTTTAAGGAAAGAATTGAGAATCGCAGACTAGTCAAACCAGCTATGGTATGGCTTTGTGATTCAATGCAAATTCATTTGCTTACAGATAAAACTAGGGTTGTATCTTTTCTTTCTTTTCATTTGCATTTCATATATACGTTTACAAATTAACATATAAATTTTTGTTTCAACTGCAGAAGCAAACGCAACAAAATAGTACAATACTAAATGAACAATAATAAAACGAGAGTGACAGCTTTTAAAGAGCAGCACAGCAAGTCTCACATCATGAATTACAAAATACAAAAACCAAGCCTTAACTGGATTTACTTATGAGATATGTCTAATCTTCCCTGTATAAAAAAGACTGAAAAAAACATTATCCAAAAGGCATCTCGAAAATGAGAGTGAAGAAACACTTTTGCTACACAGAGCTTCAACAAAAAAACATACATAACAAAAAGACCCTTGGATATGTCTAACATGGGCTGTTTATACAACATATGCCTGTTGCTGAGACACAAAGAGACTGCATCAAAACCCTGTCATTACCTGCAAGAGTAGAGAGTCGGATCAAAGACATAGGAGTTATGATCGTTCCAACGTTGCTAATCGCTTCTAACATTACATAAGTGTTGACATATCAACAGACAACTACATATTCTCTATTCATGATCCTCCACAGACTAATAATGAAGCAGAAAGTAATACGTACCACTAATATACTTTCATAGTGGAAACAGCACAAATCATGTTGCTTCACTTGTCAAAATGAGCCCTTTTGGCCTTACGACGACCTTGATGCTGAGAGTGTCGAGTAGGCTTCTTCGTCTTTGTGCTGCAACCAACATATAACAAACAAACTAAATGTCATTTTGGTGGAGGTCAAGCATGGAGTATCTTTATAAACTAGAGAGAAGATACTTAAAAAGTTAAAGCCAACATTAACATATTGTAATTAATGGATTTAGTAATAAAAGACTTGCCGGAAGAGAGCGCAGAGGAATCTGTACACTATGAAGATGGGCAACGCCAACAAAGCAGATGCCTACAGTGAAAACAGTTTTTCAATTTGTAAGGTAAGGGAGGAATCAATTAAGAAACATGTTTGTTCTTAAGATTGCAAGACCAGAAAACATACTGCAAACCAAATGAACTCTTTGGTGGCAAACGGTGCCGTCAGCTCATGGCTCTTCAATTTTCTTTCGACATTGGCTTGAACCTTTCACAGATTACACAAAGTTAGTATAATTTAATAATCCTCCAGAAATGGCAATATACATATCTGGAGTGTCTATATATTATATACTCAGTGCCTCTGATTCTGACCTGATGGTGATACGTTGTAGCAGATTTTAGAAACTCTTTGTAGTGATGAATAGCCTTCTTTGTGTAAGGCTTCATGGTAGCTCTCACCTTATCAACATGTGGTTTTGTGGCCGAGGCCACTTGATCAACGTATGGCTTGCTGAACTTTCTAGCCTCCTGGAGATATCATAGACACATTAAACGGGTATTATCATCAACCGGATTAATATCCATGTAAAACTTCTACCTATATAACAAAATATACTTCACCTGGTAATATGGATCTACATGTTCTTGAAACTTGACAATATGTGGAGTAACTGCACTCTTGGAAGCATGGTAAGCCTCTTTGGCTTTGGTAGATAGTGTGTGTACGTGTGGCTCAACATGCGTTTTGATAGTCTCTTTAACGGCTGGAATATATTTCTGCAAATAAATATTCCATAAGTGCCTCATCTGAGTAACAAGGTACGTTGCATGTAAGCTGCTTACAGTTTTAACATTAACCAGATGTGGTTCAGCCCACTTTTCAGCTTGAGTCTTCGCTTGCGTCACCTGTTATATAATCAAAACTTAGTTAAGCATAAGTTTGCTCACATAGACCTGTAACGCCCCTTAACCGGATAAAACAGTACCTTTTGAGTTACTTTCTCAATAACCGGTTTTCCGTGGGCATCCCAGTGTGGCCCAGCAACAGTCTGAGTCGCACAAATTGCCCAAGTTCATTAAGAAAAACAAAAGTTGTTACAAGTAGTAAAGATAAACGGTACTAATCTAACCTGGAAATGAACCCAGTGTACAGCAAGCCAATGAGGAAGCCACGACCCATGAACCTGGTCAAATCAACAGTTAAAGTCTTAACATTCTTCTCAATCTTATCAAGTTGTACAGAACAAGGAATCATCTCATCCTGTTATTTTTACCTCCTGGAGTTCCCTAGCCTTTGTGGCCGCTTCATGCCTCATCCGTAACATTTCTTCCTATAATTTTATTTCCATAAGAGTCAAGAATGAGTCAGAAAAAGAAGAACACAAACTTAAAGCCAAGAGCATAATCATACCTCTGAAATTTTAAGAGCACGCTCAAGTTTTCGTATTTTGCTCTTCTGCTCTTCCTTTGTTTTGTGAAGCTGCATGACTTTCTTGTTAATAATGGACAAACAAAACGCACATACAACTATCAAGAATCTTTGATACAACTCCTAAATCTAGATCAAACACAAGTGTGGAAGAGACCCTGAATCATAACGAGCCTATAGCAAAAAGATGGATAGTGGTAACAGATGACCAAATAGCAATTTTGGCTTAAAACAAAGTCGATGAATGAGAGGAAACTCGACCACTTTTCATTACCAGTTAAGCTATTTAAATGGTTCTTAATGGAAAAAAAATGATAATAGTGCGTGACAAGAGAAAGTAACATACTTTATCCAATCTCGAGTTCAATTCGTTTAGCTTTTTCTCGGCTTCACTAATCCGAGCTTCAGTAGATTCTTTCTCCTTATTCTTTTGCTCCAGAAAGTTCTTAAGTACCTCTACCTGAATGCAGCAGTACCAAATAATCACATGTAGTTTGCAAAATAAAAGATGATCCCTCAAATAAAGATCTCACCTGCTTCTCTAATTCACTAACTCGTGCTTGAGCTTTTTCCAACAGTTCCACAGAATCTGATGAACCCTTTTCCTGTACACAAGTGAAACAAAAATCAATCTAAAGACTCCAAACTGAAAGAAAGTTTTTTGATATGAAGAAGCTTATATAAACTTTTTTTAAAAGCCACACAATATATGTATAATAAACAAGGAAGCAAGTGAAGTGAGACATACCCTTAGTAATGTCTAAACAAGAAAGCAATTAAATGAGACTATAAAGATGCAAAGACATAACATACCCTAAGTGATGAAACCTCAGTTTCCAAGGAAGAAACCTTTTCCTGTCTCTCTTTGAGAAGCTTCTCCTTCTCTGCTACTAACTCCTCTCTCCCTTTAAGTTCTCTGCTTTTCTCATCAATGAGGGATTCTTACCAACCAAAAAAAAAACATAAACAAAGCTATAAGTTTCGGTCTTGTAGTAAAACCAAACTGATCAGAATCTTGTAGTAAAATTGACAAATCAAGTAAGATTCTGAGAGAAGAAGCAAACCTAGGGCACGGATTTTGGCATTAAGCTGATCCAACTGAATCTTAGAAGCGGAGTCCGAACCGCCGCCGACGGATCCAGCGGTTGTCGGTTCATCACCGCCGTCGATTCCGGCATCGGAAAACACACCGGTGGTGAAAACCAAGGCGAAGAGAAGTAACAAAGCAACGAACTTCGAGAGCGCCATGTCTCTGAAACTCAAGAGTGATCAACGAAAACAGAAAGATGAGATTTGCCAACAAATATTATTCGATTATTTATTTTTGGTTTGATGATTAGGAACTGTGAAGAAGAGAACAAAAGACGCGATATGTTTTTAATCTTTCTCTGTTCAGAAGGAATTGTCAAATGTGGTTTCGTGGCTAACACGTGGCACATTTTCAGGTTTCTGGTTATTATTAATAATATCGAACAAAAAATACTAAAATTGATTTTATTAATAAAGACACTAATAATATCTACTGTACTATTTTATTGACATCACAAGTTATTCAATAGACAATTCTCTCAGATAGCTCTCTTTTAAGTTTTTATCACAAAAATAGAATTCAACAAATAAAATGATCAAAATAGCACTTTTTATTTTGAAAATTTTAAGTTTTTAAAAAAAATTTAAACTCGAAACCCTATCCCTAAAACTCCACTTCTTAACTCTATACAAAAGATTTTAGGATTAGTTAATCCAAAGGTATAAATATATATTTAATAAAACATTTAAGTGCTATTTTGGTCATTTTAATTATTAAAATCTATATTTGTGATAAAAACGTTTTTAGTTCCATTCTAGTCATTTTCTCTTACTCAATTCATATATCTCAAATTTTTTACTAATATTTTCACCATTTTAGGAAGACCAGAAAAAGAATATGTGTAGTTTGAATTATGATTTGAAGAGATCTCGTTCCATATATCTTGTGACAAATAAATTCAAAAAATTATCCAGACTGATCTTAGAAAGAAAATAAATCAAATAGTTATTATTATATAACTGATTGTGTTAAGCGAGTTTATAAAATGGTGAATCTCTGAAATAACATATTTCTAAGTTTATGTCACAAAAATAGTTCTCAAAAACTAAAATGACCAATATAGTATTTAATCTTTTGAAAATTTTAAAAAAAATTATCCCCAAAACCTCATTCTCAACTCTAAATTCTAAAACCTAAATTCTAAACCCTAAACCCTAAACTCTAAAATCTAAACCCTAAATCCTAATATCTGAATTAATTTGTTATTGGAATATAGGTGTATATTTATCTCTTTTGATAAAACATTAAATGCTATTTTGGTTATTTTTATTTGTAAATGTTATATTTGTGACAAAAAAAATTTAGTGCTATTTTAATCATTTTCTCTTTATAAAATAAAGTAAAAGTTAATACAAAAAGAAAATATATAAGAATTGATACTGCTGTGGACTTTGGAGTGCATCTGCCCACATGTTAAGTTCACACGGCTCAAGAGTTAAGGGTAGGTGATACAGCCGTATATGCGCATGGGACAACGAATTATAGTTGGAAGATTATTTATCGGATTCATTTGTTTTGTCAACGTTTGGGCATAACACCAACTACTTTCAGCTACCTCCTTTTTTGACCTCCAAATCAATAACACCTAAAAAACAGTCCGTTTGTATTTGTATGCTAACCAGGGTTTGCAAGTATCCGGACCAAAAGAACTGATCCAAAACGGACCTAAAGTCAGAATCCCGAACCCAATGGACTTGAGGCAAATAAGTGAATGAGTTTTAAATTGTTATATTTGAAAATTTTGTCACGAAATTAATATGAACCGAGAACCGATTGAGTATATGAAATGTAAACATATATATCTAGCATATTAGTTATAAATATACTTATATTTATTTTAATAATTTAAACTAAAACTATAAATTGAGTATATTTGTTATTTTGATATTTTAAGTATTTCCAGATAAAATAGGACAGTTTGGATAAAAATATCCAAATAAAACCGAATTTAACGAATACTTTAGATAAATTTAGGTAATTTAGATATAAAATATTCAAACTAAATGAGATAATATATTTTCTTTTATAAATATCAGAACCCATTTCAAATAAATTGGTTATTTTCAAGTAGTTAAACATCAGAATCAAACACACTAAATATGGGAGCATCTGACTCGAATCTGACCGAAAAATTTGTAATAACCAAATTTCGAAATCTGAAACTTCGATACTGAAAGAACCGACATGTATCCAAACAGATATCCAAATGCCAACCATATTAAAATTCATTTAAATGACTGGTTTAGGTTTTGACCGTAGAGGTATATATATTTTTAATCGTAGAGTAGAAGTATATATTTTTAGTTTTAAAGATAATCTATTTATTTTATATATATATCATTAGGTTTTAAACTACGATATCGAGAGTGTACCACTAAGGTATGCAAAAGTATACTTGTTAAAACATTTAATTATACAGTATTAATCCACTGTATATATGTAACAGACGAAGAACAGAAGCTTAAAATTAAGCATGCATGAAATCTACCAAAAAGCAATCCACACAAGTCTCTTCTATGTGTACACGCTCTTGCTCTTATTCTGGAACTGGAACGAGGCTTGGAACATATACATGATAACAAGATTGATCCTTAAATGTACGCCTTATTGTCCCCTCAACTTGTTTGTCTATCTTCTTACCCTCATCCAATACGTAAACATCTGTGAAAATATATGCCTCCTCGTATTCTACTTCCTCGACCCAAAACATAATATTTTTGGTCTTGTGGATGCAGTATGCCAGAAAACGATGATCGGAACGGGAGGGTATTATTGGGAAATCAGCGAGAGTAAAACTGAAATACTTGCTCCACGAGACATCCCCATCGGTCAACTTGTTTGTAACCCACACCTCAGTCTTCGAATATGTATGTCGTTGTAACAAAGAAAGCCTATCTTCTCCGTAACCTGACAAGAGTACTCTATCAACAGAACTTCCATGAAAACGATCTGTTCCCTCTGGAACACATATGGGTTTGAATGTTTCTGTAGAAAAATCAAAACTTTGGATGAATCTATTTTGGAGTCATCACGCGTCACGCCTTGTTTGAGCAATACAATACATGTTCCCATTCATAGACAAAGTTTGGCACAGTAGATTGTCTTTGACAGTAGCATTAACTCTTCTCCAGATTTTAGATTTAAACTCATATATCTCAATCTTGACCCCCCCCCATATCAATATCAATCCTCAAGATCTTGTAGTTGTCACGAGATACGCTGTCGTATCCAAAAGCGAAGACGTCGAAGTATTTGTAAGTAGTTGAGGGTTCGATCCATTTGAGTCCGTTCACAAACGGATTCCAGACTGCGAGCTTTCTACCATTATCATGTTTACCTCCCTCAACAACCTTACATAGCAGTAATCCGTCACAGTGAATGATTGCTTTAAGGGTATAATTGTGTAACTTGTCTGGGACTGGTACACATAATAAAGGAGCGTTGGTCTTCATACTTGAGAGTTGTATTGCTTTATGACTGACTAGTATACATCGTTCGATCGTGGGAGAGATCCAAAAGTTTGTAGATGAATCTCTTGTCGTTAATAAGAGCATGCCAATCTTTGCATACGGATTTGAATCGTACTATAGATTCGATCGGAAGTTTGTAAAGTATCTCTTCTGCTAAATCTAAAGGCAGTGACTGCAAAGTCATTGACGTTTTGTAAGAAAAATTAGCTGACATTAGAAAACCTTTTTATAGCTGATAAAAAAGTCTATAATACTTGCTTTTTTTAAATGTTCCTTTACGAAAAGAGTTTTTTTTTTTCTTTTCCCGGCTGAGACAGAGATTTCAAAAAGGGAAATATTCTTGAATGTTTATATTAATTTGGAAATAAAAATAGAAAAAATTGTTTTAAACCTAATTCATCATCTTATTACTAAAGTAAATTAGTAACTTTAGGTGCTGCCATCTACACTATAGTTTATGTTGATTCTGAAAATTAGTTTTGCATCCGGAATCTGTCTTGGATTATAATAGCCTTTTGTGGAAAAAAATTAGTAACTCTAATTTTATTTCGAGTACTAAGATTAAACATATTTTTGTGACAAAATTTATTTATTTTTAACCATAGATTAATTTAGACATATTTATTATCTTTCCACATAATTGTTTCAGTTGGGCACAAAATTATTTTGTTTTAGTAAATTTAAATATTTTAACTCACAGTTATTTTCTTTTAACAGATTGATATGACAAATTTGACTTTTTTGTTTACTTCTTACCACATATATATTTGTTTTCTTTTGAAGGCATATTTATTTAATTCTAAAGAACCAAACCGGACTGGTTAAACATAGCGGTACAAAACTGGGTAAACCGAAATGTTTTTTTAAACCAAAAATATTTAATGCAAATTCTCTACTTAGTTTGAACCGGAATGAAATTTAGTTAACGACAAAAAATCCAATTAAATTGAAATTATGTGAACGTAACGTAAAAGGTCGTCATCTTCCTTTTGGCTCCAACAATTTGTTCATTTCACACATGGAACATGCATACGGTAAATGGATGTTTCAGAATATCAATAAAACCTTTCATGTTGGTTTTGAATCCCTTAGTCAGAGCATTACATACAGCAGCAAGTTATGATCTAGAGAGATAACCATATATGTGTAGTGACCTAATCCATGAAAAAGTTTCCGACATTCTCACCTAGAGAGAGTGCTGGTCCAATATTTTTGGACGTCCTAAACAAATTTTTAACATGTAATTAAGTATGTTTGATCTAACATCATGTATGTATTTAGAATAAAATTTAGATTAAAAAATAAACTGTTTCAGTTTTTTTTAAAGTAAAATTTATTCATTTCAGAAATTATATTTATAACCAATATCTCATTTGTTTGAAAACTAAAAAAAAACAGAAACCTACTATAAACACAATAAAAAATAAAGATAAGTCATTTACAAATAAACTATACAACCATAAGGTCCATAACCTTTTCATGCTTTAATTTCATTAATGAGAAGTGAAAATAATTTCATAAAATTAACTCTATAACAATAATTTTAAATATTATCGTAAACATTAGATTACATTCATCACAATTTTTCTAAAATTATTTGTTTATGCGAAATCACTTATTTAAAAAATGCAGTTATTTTTCTATAAATCTACTCAAAAAATTTATTAATAACGCTAAACTTTCTTACAAATATCATTATTAAAATTATAAATATTGTTTACATATAAATATTAACAAAAATTCTTAATTTTAAAAAATTTTATACAATAAAATCTTTTTAAAATTGGATGAGTAAACATGGGAGAGAGAATTTTAAATAGGTAATTGAACAATTATGGTTTTATCAGTTAGGGAAGAGAATGACTAACCATGGGACGAAAGAAGGGCAGATGTAGTGAACATGGAAACGTATAAACAAAGAACAAAATAAAAACAAAATGCGACTCTGCTGGGATTCATTATTAAAATTATAAATATTGTTTACATATAAATATTAACAAAAATTCTTAATTTTAAAAAATTATATACAATAAAATCTTTTTAAAATTGGATGAGTAAACATGGGAGAGAGAATTTTAAATAGGTAATTGAACAATTATGGTTTTATCAGTTAGGGAAGAGAATGACTAACCATGGGACGAAAGAAGGGCAGATGTAGTGAACATGGAAACGTATAAACAAAGAACAAAATAAAAACAAAATGCGACTCTGCTGGGATTCGAACCCAGAATCACTGGTTTCGTAGACCAGCGCATTATCCATGAGCCACAGAGTCTCAGTTGTTTACTTTTATTACTATAGCTACTTAATACACGATATTAAATATGTTCAAACTTCAAAATCAACAACAAAGCCTTTGTAATGGGCTGATGTTATCTTTTATTTTTTATTTTTGCTTTAAAATTCAAAATACATTAGAATATCTATAAATTAATACTCGATAATTAATAATTTCTATAAATTAATAAATTTTGTCGTTTACAACTTGGGCCGGTTCAAAATTTGACACAAATCGATAAAATAATAAGATAATAATTTTTCAAAAAAATCTATGTAAATATATGGTCCCATTAAAATTATAAATTAATAATCATATGTATACATATTTTATATAAGTAAGAACATATCATTGTATTGTTTGTTTTATATTCACAATGAAATTTTCTTTATATTTCTTAACACTTATTATATTTTTGGTGAGATTTGATAACATTATGTCTAAAATCATATTTAGATTATGTGCAACATATATTATATAAAAAATATAATATAATAAAGTTGATATAAATGTCAAATTTTTAAAGAATAATTAATGTTTATACAGTAATATCAAATATTTTTCTTATTTTGGAAAAAAAACATTTTAAAATAAAAAATCTAAATAAGGAAAATTTTGTAAATTAATATCTCTATAATTTAAAAAAATTTTAAAGTCCCAACATTATTAGTTTATAGAGGTTTTACTATATAAGTTTTCCGGCTGTGACTTTATATTTTGTGGTTGTAGAATTTATTTTGGAAGATATTTAATATTTAGATATAAATTTTATTTTCAAAGCCAATATACATCTTCTTTTTTACTTTTTTTTTGGATTAAATGCTGGTATAGACCACAAGGGGTCAAAAAAATCTCATATGAACCTATCCATTTTTCCTTTTATTTTACATTTAATTTTAAATAGATATTTAGAGAAAATAACTAAAAAACCTAAAGATCTAAACATATTTACAAACCCATGCCATTACTATCCTACCCAGAATTCAACCCTTCTTCCAGCTTAAAACAAAATCGAAAATTTTCTTCAACCATCGACCAATTTTCTATTCTTATCCCAAATCGATCAACCTATAGTCATATTTAATCAATTATAACTTACCCTGAATCAAATTTCATCTTTTACATATTAAATTTAAGATGAAGAAAAACGCAGAGTGTTACTAGTACAACTAGTAAAACTTTAATTAGTACAACTAGTACAACTAAAAAAAATATAACTATTACAAATAGATTAAATATAACCAATATAACTAGTACAAGTAAAACACATATAACTAGTTTAACTTTACAATTAAAATGGTGATCTTATTGTTTTCAGTGTATAAAAATGGTAGAAAAGAATATAATGTTGAACAATAAGACATGTTGGTTTAATCTTCCTGTCAAATACTTGAATTGTATATTTTTAATAATATTTGATTTGGATAATGACCTGTTTACAAGTTGTACTATTTTCGAAAAAAATCATCTTCATATTTATGCTTTGGAGGCCAAAAAGGTAGATGCAGAACCAGAAAAGTCTTCAACCATAGCTCCAAAAACACGAGTCACCGGAAAGAAGAATAAAGAGGGAGCATCGGTGACGAGTAAGAAGGAGTAGAGTCCTCGTCGAATCCAACCAAGCAAGCTTGCAACCACATCAAGGCAGAAGACAACGAGGCGATTGGGTCTAACAACGGAGATTCACAAGGCAGCGAATGAAAAAGAAGCGCTAAGAATGGTAAACCATTAAATTTGAAATAGTTTTGTAAAATGTTTGATTGTTCTGATAAAGTTCAACTAAGGTCTCATTTTGTGTCAAATAGATAGCTTATGGAGTTACTTTTTAAAACTTATGTTTCTTATAAAATTTATGCTCATTTTGGTATTAAATTTTGTGTTCATTTTGATGTTAAACTTATTTTTTATAGCTTCGAAACTTAAGAATTCATGTTTGATATTTGAATTACAATAATAAATCCAACTGGTTTAACTATAGTAGTGGTAGTAACAGTTTAATTGTAGCAACATATCGAGCTGACTTGGATGGTCCATCAAGCATATTGGCATATTGCTTGCTCGGTGAGTTGTGTTGTTTTAGCATAGATTGGTAGGTTTCCGCCCCTAAATCTTTTTTTTTTTTTAACATGGACATAAAAATAAAAATAGGAATTTGACTAATTGTAAATACATATACCAAATAACCTGATGTAATTTGCATTTGGCATAGTAATATTCTTTTATATACGATTTCAAATAGATTTTTATTCTTATGCTTTTCAAATTAACTAGGTCTAGTCAGTATATAATAATACTTTTGATTAAAACAAATATTTTCATAAACAAATAATAACTAGTGATAATGGTAGTACTAGTACAACTACTCAATATTAGTGTTCAAACCACAATGTTTAAAACATGATACATATTTAAAGCGTGATCCACATTTAAAACAATATTAAATAAAATAACAAGTAGTTGTACCAGTTTTTTAGTTGTACCGACTGTACATAGTTGTACTAGTTTTTGAGCTGTACCAGTTTGTGCATAATTTGTGGGAACCGAAATTCACACCTCGATTTCCAAGAATAAAGGAACTTAGGGAAAACCCTAATTTCCCAGAGGTCCCGACTATCTGCTTAACCACACGCAAGCAATCAGAATTCGATAACAAAAGTAAAAACGGTATAAAAATCGAGATAAAGAGCAAAGAGGTTTCTTTTTCCAATTTTGCATAAGAACGGTACAACGAGGTAAGCCTTGGCTACAAGAGCTGACGGCGAGTTTCCTAGTTCTAGTAACCTAAGACTAAAACTTTAGTTGAGACGCAAATCGATAACAAAAACGGAAAATTGCCTAAATCCTAACTTTTTTTTGTGTGATGAGAGTTCTGAAAATCGTCATCTTCTCCTGTCCTCGACCTTCTG